CCATCTGTGATTGACTTGTGATTACACTTTTGACCTTTTGAACCTCTATGACCCATAAACATAAACCGACCCGCGGCTTATTTCTCTGTATCCCATAAGGTCAGTCGACCGAGGCACACCAGGTACTTTCCGTGCGCTCTTTTACATTTGCATTTTGGCGATTTCATTTTTCACAGACATTTTTTATTTCATTCATGGTTTGAGTCACCGAGTGTCATTTATTATGTATAAATTGAGTTGTAAAGAAGTAGTGTCCCTTTTAATATTTCACAAACGACTTAAATTTGCAGATTCTTCTTAAAATTATGAAAATCACAAATTACAGTTGTGCATGAAAAAGCCTTACTATACTGTGGACTATACAGTAGAGATTTGGGAAGACTTTAACGTTAAGTGGTTCATCATAGGGCCTAGCACCAACATACATTTCCCAGAAGGAAGTCCTTATTTTCTGTCAGCCAACAAAACTAACGGTGACACTGTGTACTGGAAGTAAAATGGAAGAACAGTGAACTTAGATTACTTGGAAGAGCAGTAAAACAGGAGTTTCAACATAAGTAAAGAAAAATCACAAGTATGTTAATAAATGACCTCTGTCTTTGAAGATAACAATAACAAGGACAGAGGTGAGAAACAGATACGTCAGGGGGGGAGGGGGGGGGGGGGGGGGGGGGAAAGAGAAAAGTTTTAGTTTTAGTAGAGGTATTACGGCGCTCGCTACTGCATAAGGTCATATGAGTACCAGAAGATTAGAAGTGTTACAAGAGTGTAACAAAACATAAAAAAGAAAAAGGGGAGATAAAGGACGATAGATGTTTGATAGGAAAGAAGAAGCAAACCACACCAGAGCACCCACCAACCACCCACGTAAGAGAAAAGAGGAGGAGGAGGGAGGAGGGGGGAGGAGGGGGGAGGAGGAGAGAGAGGACATTATGACGACCAGCAGTGACAAGTGTCCATATACAATACAGAATACCAAGGATAGGTCCAACACAGATGACCTGAAATCCCACATCCGTCGAACTGTGCCTGAGGTCACGGGGTTTTTTTCTTCTGTTCTTCTTCTTCTTCCTCGTTTTCGATGACAGCAGCTAGACAGTCAGTCCGATGTCTTTCTTCTGTATCTTTGTAAGATGTTGTTATCGATCCAGCAACATCTGGGCTCTCGCCCTTCAGCGATAAGTGCCGGTTCAGTGCAGTTGCAGTAATGTTCCATAGAGTGTGTATCTTTGTAAGATATCCCTCAAACTACGGATCCCTCCAACGACCGAGGCCAGTGCCAACGAATTCAAACTATCCGTGTTATTATACTGTAGTTTATATTTGTGTACTCATTGTAGCAGGTGACGAAACTCATTATTTCACAGAGTTATTTCATTCAAACATTGTATATGTCATTATAATGAACACACATTCCCTCACGCGGATAAATTAAGGTGGGATTCTTCTTTTCCTTTACGCCACAACAAGAAAACATTTGGCTCACAGCAGACGGCGATTCAACCAACTGTGGGTTGAAAATAAATACAATTATATGTAGATGGGCCTTCGGTGTTCGCTTCTGTAACATAATAGACAGCGTTTGAGCAGCGCAAATTCCCGCTCAACAGCAAGGGGCTCTGTGCGCTTGTAGAAACATCTCCGTTTGTCATCTTTTTCTACACAGCGGAGAACAGCAGCTGGTCACATACACTTTATCATCCATCGCAAACCTTTTCCAGTCGACATTCTGTGCATAAAGTTTTTTCCATTTTTTGCCAGCCGAGACATTACCTCTTTCATTTTTTTGCAATCATGAATACTTCTAGTTCTAGTTTTTAGAATTTGTTTTTTGCGACCAAACATAAGCTCTTTAATATTTTTGTGACCAAGACACTAGCCTCGTCACTAGCTCTTTCCTTTCTTGTGGACGATGTGAACAGGAAAAGAGAAAGGGTTACCAGGAATCAAGGTGAGGATTTACCACTTTGCCATTACAAGTCTCATATAGGAAAAACCCTTGCCATCAAAGGCAAAAAGCATTTTGAGTGAATATCCAAAGAAACTGGGTGGTAAACATCGCCGATCAGCGAGATGAGGTGGCAAAGTGTTAAGCATAATATGGCCAAATAGGCGGAGACTGCATGAATACACAAGTACTTTGTCATTTGACAAAATACAGCAGCTGTAGAATTTGGCACTTGCATACATATCCCGTGTGTACATCATGTGTGTGTGTGTGTGTGAGTGTGTGTATGTGAGTGTGTGTGTGCATGAGGGTGAGTGTGTGCGTGTGTGAGGGTGAGTGTGTGCATGTGTGTGTGTGTGTGCATGTGTGTGTGTGCATGTGTGTGTGAGGGTGAGTGTGAGTGTGTTTGTGTGTGTGCGTGTGTGTGTGTGAGTGTGTGTGTGTGAGTGTGTGCGTGTGTGAGTGTGTGTGTGTGTGAGTGTGTGCATGTGTGTGTGTATGTGTGTGTGTGTGTGTGTGAGTGTGTGTGTGCATGTGTGTGTGTGTGTGTATGTGTGAGGGTGAGTGTGTGCATGTGTGTGTGTGTGTGAGTGTGTGAGTGTGTGTGTGTGCATGTGTGTGTGTGTGTGTGTGTGTGTGTGTGTGTGTGTGTGTGTGTGTGTGTGCATGTGTGTGTGTGTGTGTGACAGTGTGTACTATTCAAAAGTTCATCAAGCAATAGAAATCCTTTTTAAAACATTCAATCAGTCTTTTACAAATGCCCTCACGGAAGGCAAGGTCAAGACTCGAATACAAAAGCATTGAGAGGAACGACGCCATAACCCGTTCCATCAAAGAAAGGACCATAACCCGTTCCATCAAAGAAGATCACATTAACGAGAAAAATTTAGAAGTAGAAGAAATGTTCACATAAAGTTGTAAATATTTGTGCTGATAGCACTTAGCGTCTCAAGCACCATTTTCCCCACTTTGAACAGTATCTTATAATTCGCAACTATTTGCTGCCAGTAAAGAGGGCCTTTTTCCCCAACATTTTTCCACATCAGAATGGAAGATTTATTGTGTGTGCGTGTATGTGTGTGTGCATGTGTGTGTGTGCATGTGCACATGTGTGCGTGCCAGAATGAAAACACATCTTTCAATGTACGGTATCAACTTTTTACCTCAAAACATCACCGTTCCTCTTATTTTTCATATTGACAAAAAGTTGCCAGCCAAACCAATACCAGCAGAGTCTTTTACCGGGAATTTGAATCAGATCCTGTTATCACGAAGAGAAATTTGTTCCTTTTGCAGTCATAAATATTACAAAAGCTCTCGAACAAAATAGTCTAGTAAGGTTAATTTCAAATGCTTCCTTGCCGGGTTCATGAGCAGACATGACCATCAAACCTCCCACCCCTTAGCACTTTCCTAGACCATTTTCAACAACTGTTTCTGATTCTTTCACACAAATCTCCATCAAGATAAATATAATTATTATCACCAGTATTACCACAATAGCGATTCCTCCTTGTGCCATTATTACTACCGTTGACAGGCATCTCTACAATATACTACATTAAAAAAGTTGTTTAAATAAACAAACTCTTTACTCACTTCTGCCATGTTGCGAGTAAGTAAAACGATAAAATAAAAATAAATAATGGCTGGTTTACCCATGACCAGTGAGTGACACACAAGTCAAGTGACTAAAACAAATCTGTCCCCGTGGTTTTATGCAACCCGCATAATTGAGCAAAATTTGATCTTTTTTTTGGGCATAATTTTTGATTATTTTCCTTTATCATTCTTTGTTAAAATGAACAGCATCGCATAATTTCACATTTTCGGGCTCACTTTGCATAATTTCAGGATTTTTCGTGCATAAAACCATGGGGACAGCAATATTCTCAAAGCTCATGCAGTTAGAAAAAACTGGATGGGAGTTTTCGCATGCATGTATGTACAACTGTAACAACATGTAGAGAAATACATTACCATTGCACATGGATGAGAAGAAGGATTCAATCTCGGCAAATATACTTGGGTGAAGAATAATAATAATAATAATAATACTCGTAAGACTGAAGAGTTACACTTCCATAAGGAGAAATGGAAGCATTTACACGGAGTGGTTGCAAACATACGAAAATCACGAGAGGTGTCATCGTGAACACATTGAAAAGCAATATCTTCCCCAAAAAGTTTTTCTAATCTGTAGAAATGACCAAAACCATGCATGCTGACATGGCCGTCGCTCCGTTTTTCTAAACCTAGACTCGAAAAGGATCATGGAAGACTCCGAGACGCCAAATGCTTAATAATAAAATAACAGTGTAAGAAAACAAAGCAAGCCTTTCTCCACACAAGGCCAAGGCACTATTTCTCAAACTGGCCTTCCCAGCAGCTAGATCCTCAAACACATCTCGTTCTGAGAGAGGTGAGGAATTTTCTTCTGGCTTCTCTCTGCTCAGCTCAAAACAAAGGCTGACGTTTTCAGTTGACAAATCAAAACCGAGGTTTGACAAAACCAGAGATCCTAGCTGCCTTTTTTTAAAATATGAAACTTTTCCGACCTGTGGAAACGCTCGCGCGGGGACTCAGAATTTTTAATGCTCATATCGTCTAACACATCTTGTATCCAGACTGTTCTCATGCTCACCGGCCCGAAGTAAGGAAGAACTTGACATAATTGTGTAACGCCGTGGAGGAATCAGGCGCTCGTCAATTTTGGGGCATATGGAGTTATCGGTATCATCTTAAAGCCTGTCCATTTGCCTAGCTTTTGGTGACAAAAATATCCATTTGTCTTGGATACAAGTCAATATATTGCCGATTGAAGGAGGAGGGGGTCGGGTAGTTTCAGAGGTAAATATAGGGAGAAAATGGTCGTCAAAGTTGCATTATTTCCTTCGCTTGAGAGTCCATGCAAACTGAAATTTACATCTTTTACGCCTTTAATTAATGTTCTTCAGTAAAAACAACACATAAATGTGATTTTAATGGGTATGAAAAATGTTGAGCAAAAAAACAAAAATTTGATAAAAATTCCCAGACCTGCGGTAAAAAGCCAATTTCTTCACTTTCATTATTTTGACGAGCGCCTGATTTCACCACGCTGCCTCACAATTTCAGAAATGCAGATTTCTGGATTTATCCAAAAAGTCGGCACCTCAGATGAACACACTCATAGGTCCCGCCCCGACCGTAACTGCAGAAGTTCACGCTCCTCCCACAGTAACTGCAGAAGTTCACGCTCCTCCGAGATATTATTCACGCTTCCGTTCCACAGTAACTGCAGAAGTTCATGCTCCTCCAAGATATTATTCACGCGTCCGTTCCACAGTAACTGCAGAAGTTCACGCTGCTTCGAGATATTATTCACGCTGCAGAAGTTCACCGTTCCACAGTAACTACAGAAGTTCACGCTCCTCCGAGATATTCAAGCATTCCGTTCCACTTCACATACGCAGGCACTCAGGGAGATGTGATCCGGTGAGTCTACGAGGAGTCCATGACAAGTCCAAGGAGACGTGAGGGAACTCAGGTCACGCCAGGGAAGCTTCCCTCAGAACTGTCACCCATCTGAAACAGAGAGAACAAAGATAGCTTTAGTTTAAGTAAGAATATCACGGCACTTGCAACACAATAAGGACATGTAAGTTTTGTTTAATTTTAGTGAGAGTTTTACGGCACTTGCAACACAATAAAGTCAAATAAGATTTAAGGTGTTACAAGAGAGTAACAAACACAAAAAAGAAGGAGGGAAAATAAAGACAATAGATGTTTGATAGGAAAGAAGGACCAAACCACACTAGAGCACCCGCCAACCACCCACAGGTCAAGTAAGTGCCGAAGATTAGAGGTGTAACAAGTGAGTAACAAACACACAAAAAGAAGGAGACATAAGGACGATAGATGATCCATAGGTAAGAAGGAGTAAACCACACCAGAGCATCCGCCAGTCACCCGCCAGTCACCCATATATGAAGATAAGACTCCTGAAAACTCACCAAAGAAAAGAAAGAAAGAAAAACACAAGCAAAAAAAAGTTACCAATAAAAACATTTAGCAAAGACAATCTTCTCCAGTAGAGGAAAATGTTATCTATATGTACGAGGCACACAGATTTAATATATCAAGGCGAAAGAACACTAACAGCAACAAAAATCATTATAACATTATAATAATAATCACAGTCGTAATGTTCACATATAAAGACATATTTACATACAGTCAAGAACAGATAACTGAAAGATGTTTAAAGTCGAATTCACGTACGCCTACAGGTCCAACAATATTTGTTTTAGTAAGGTTTTACAGCTCTCGCAACTGCATAAGGTCATATGAGCGCCAAAGGGTGGATGTCAACAGAGAAGTCCAAACGGGGAATCAGGCTTACTCTGCTCACCTCTCTAGCCTCAAGAGTACAAAGTCTGCTTCGACTATCAAGGCACCACGGAAATGGTACTTCACAAGAGAGTGACAAACATACAAATGAAGTAGAGGAGGAGATGACAATGGTAAGGATGACCAAAGAAAAAGCAGGAGTTCCCCCTATGTTGTTCCGGCACAGTATGAGCATGACATTGATAAATCAGCCCACTTACAATTCTACTGTGCATTAGAACATGTTAATATGTTAATATCCCTCCTTTGGGAATTACTGAAAGATACTTCAGTCAGTAGCACTGCCCCTGGGGGGGGGGAGGGGCTAAAGACATATTTACATACAGTCGAGTACAGATAACTCAAACAAGCTAAACTCATATTCACGTAGACCTACAGTTCCCAACAATATGCCATTACACAACCTTTTAAAAGTTTTAGTTTTAGTAAGAGTTTTGCTGCACTTGCAACACAATAAGGTCATATAAGTGCCAAAGATTAGAGGTGCTACAAGAGAGTAACAAACACAAAAAAGAAGGGAGGGAGATAGAGACGATAGATGTTTGATAGGAAAGAAGAAGCAAACCACACCAGAGCCCCCGCCAACCACCCACATTCCACAACATTTCTTTTTCTAAAAACATCACAAGGTAAAAAAGAAACAAAATAAAATTTTAAAAAAACAAGGTAAAAGAAACAAACAGAACAGGTCCACAGACTTTGAGGTGGCGACGGCCGTGTCAGTCCGGAAGATGAGTCTCTGCGTGGTCTTCTCCGTCCCAGGAATGACCTTGGCGGACAGCGCCTCTCCGTTCTTGCGGGTTAGCGGTTGAGTGTTCTGGTGGGTCAGCTCAAACAGAAGCGACGGCTCCGCCCCTTCGAACCACTGGCAACGTAAGAGAAACACGGACATTGTATACGTAAATGTTTAGTCTTTAGTAAGGTTTTAGGTCACTCGCAACTGCATAAGGTCATATGATTTTTTTAGTTTTAGTAAGTATCTTACGGCACTTGCAACACAATAAGATCATAAAGGTGTTGTAGATTACTTTTTTCTTTTTAGTAAGAGTTTTACGGCACTCACAACACAATAAGGTCAAATATGATGTTCCGACACAGTATGAGCATGACATGGATAAATCAGTAGCCCATTTACAATTCTACTGTGCATAAGAACATATTAATATCCCCCCCCCCCCCTTAGAGAATGGCCTAAACATGCTTCAGCCAGTAGCACCAGTAGCACTGCCCTGAGGGGAGAGGGGGCAAAATTGTCCGAGACAGCCACTCCTTGTTGAGGATGAAAAAAAACCAAAAAACAAAGAAGACAGGACTAATCAACCCAGAGAAAACCAAGACAAGAACACGACGCAACAGCTCTTCCACCTACCGTATTGAACCGAGTCACTTCGTATCCTAGAAGAGGCATACTCTCTATTGCAGCCATATCCTGAGAAACACACCCAAAAAAAAATTATTATTATTTCAATCAACATGAACAAAGACTAACAATACAGTATCACAGCATTTGTTGAATTTATTAGCCAGTCAGCTTACTGATACTTTGTGCATATTGGAGGGAGGAAGAGAGGGAGAGAGAGAGAGAGAGAGAGAGAGAGAGAGAGAGAGGGAGAGAGGGGGGGGGGAGCAAAAAGACAGTTTATAGAAACATATGATATGGGACTACACAGAAAACAAATGAAGAGAATAATAATAACTATTCTTCAAGTGAAAATAACAGAGAAATACAGTAGTCTCCGCCTAAGATCTCGGTGCTCGGGAACAAGGAAAATGACGGATCTTATGAGAGCGGGATCTTAACCGACGGACCACGGAAGAATCTACGGTGACCCACGTTAAGGCCCACAATCGGTAAAATGGTCTCCTTTCACTTTGAAATGAACTGACGAGACCTCTGGATGGGTTTATGACACATTACGGAGAGCAAAGAGTGGTCAACTTTGATGACCAATCACAGTACGGGGCACGACGCATTCCATTTACACTTATTATCCTATCGTAAGTCTCAAGTTCTGCGCTTATCCAGTTGCCCCTCCCCTCCCCGTATCTTTCCAAAATTCAGAGCTTTCCATCTCTGACCGAGCTCCCCCCGCTTTTGTCGTTACGCACCATTACGAGGTGACCACACCAATTAAAATTAAAGTCTGTCTTGCAAATTCGGGAATAGAGACAATTTACTGCTGCAAAGGTCAGGGAAGAGTTCACAGTTTGATGTTATCCCGCCTAGAGCAAATGTGTAGGCTCTTCCCATGCAGACAGTGATGTAAGTTTAGGTGGCGAGATCATATGTGAGGCAGCGTGGTGGAATCAGGCTCTCGTCAAAATAATCAAAATGAAGAAACTTGCCTTTCTCCGCAGGTTTGTGAATTTTTATTAAATTTTTGTTTTTTGGCACAACACCTTTCATGTCCATAAAAGAACTCATTTCTGTGTGGATTTTTCTGAAAAACATTGATTAAAGGCACAGAAAACGTAAATTTGCAGTTACCATGGACTCTTAAGCTTTGGAAATGACTAACCTTTGGCGGCCATTTTCTCACTAATTTTACCACTGAAAACAGGTGACCCACTTGACTAGTATTCAAGATAATTGGATACTTTTTTCATCCAAATAAAGACAAGTGAACAAGCTTTAAGATGATACCAATAACTCTACATGCCCAAAAATTGACGAGAGCCTGATTCCACCACGCTGCCTCACATATGTGAGTGCGATGATTGGGGTAAACAAACGCGTTGGTCAATTCACACCTCAGTGTGATCCTGTCAGGGGGCAAATGTTGTACCGTTTTACAATGCTTATGTGATCACATTCCAAAGATCGGCCGATTTTTTACGCGATGGGCAGTTAAAGGATCTCAACTTTTCACTCTTGTTTCATCGGCTGTGCCTGCCCCGGTTTTTGTTCCATTCATTATGTCTGAAAAGCGGGATCTTAGCAGAATGTAGACCTAAAGAGGGAATCAGAGCGGGATCTTAGGGGTGACTTTTGTAAGTTAAAATTTTCTTAAAACAGTAATTTCTTAAGTGAACTGGGATCGTAAGCAGTAGGATCTCAGGCGGAGACTACTTTAACGGGGAAATTAAACAGCATCCCTGATAAAGCTCAGAATATAAATAAAGTCAAAATTATTCAAGATGGTCACCCATTAGCGATGAGAAAATTGTCTGTCTTAGATTAAAATAATGGGGGGGGGGGAAAACGGCATCCTGAGAAGACTTGAGGCACTTGACCTCTCCGACCCCTGCTCACCTCGCTGGCCTTGTAGGTGTAGAGGACCTTCCCTTTGACCACGAACCACAACTTCTTCCACTTCCTCGACTTGTAGATGTTCAAGTAGCCACTCATGTCCGACCCTTCGTCGTTTGCATGGACCTGGACAAGAAGATTGAAAAAGCAATTTGTGGTTTGAAATAAAAAGCAATTTGGGGTTTAAAATAAAAAGCAATTAGCGGTTTAAAATAAAACTTGAAATTTGTGGCTTTAAAATTTAAAAAGGTAATTTGTGGTTTAAAGTAAAAAGCAATTTGTCGTTTTAAATAAAACTGGAAATCATTTGTGGTTAAAAGAAAAAAGCAATTTGTGGTTTTAAATAATTGAAATTTGTGGTTTAAAATAAAAAGCAATTTGTGATTTTAAATAAAACTGGAAATAATTTGTGGTTTAAAATAAAAATGAAAATTTGTGGCTTTAACTTCAAAAAAGGCAACTTGTGGCTTTAGATTTTTTAAAAGCGATTTGTGGATTTTAGCTTTAGTTCGAATTTTACAGCACTTGCAACACAATTAGGCCATATAAGTGCCAAAGATTAGAGGTGTTACTAGAGAGTAACATACAAAGAAAAGAAGGATCAGAGAAGTGGATGTCAGATGTTTGATATCCAAGTAAGAAAAGTGAATGGCGAATTATGATTGGACACCTGTATAAAAAAAATCATCTGCACAAATAGCCACTTTCCAGTTCCCCGTTGCTTAATTTTTTAATAACATTTTATATTGTTTAAAAAAAATATGTGTGTCTTCACACCGCAATCAAAACAACAAAGATGACTTAGAAGGCAGGCTTCCGGCCCTTTCTGTCAGGACCAACCCAGACCAAGAAGGACATAACATCCACGCAGACAGACCGAGATGCTCAATAAAAACGTTCTTCCCACTCAGAAATCAAACTCGAAGTTTTTAAAATAGTTTTAGTAGAGTTTTTACGGCGCTCGCAACTGCATAAGGTCATCTGAGCACTAAGGGGTGGAGGTCAACAGAGAAGTCCTTACAGGGAATCAGGCTTACTCTGCTCACCTCTCTAGCTTCAACAGCACAAAGTCTGCTTTGACCATCAAGGCACCCTGGAAATAGCAGGTCACAAGAGTGACAAACATACAAAAGAAGTAGAGGAAAATGAAAATAGTAAGGATTAGGAAAGAAAAAGCAGCAGTTCCCTGTTGCAGATCAGGCAGTTATGAGCGTGACATGATGAATCAGCCCATTTACAATTCTATTGTGCTAGAACAAGAAATGTCCCCCCCTTTGGGAATGGCCTAAAGACACTACAGTCAGTGGCACTGCCCCGGGGGGAAAAGATCACTTAGAAGGCAGGCTTCCGGCCTTTTCTGTCAGGAACAACCCGGACCAAGAAGGACGCAACATACAAGCCGAACGACCGGATGCTCAATAAAAATGTTCTCCCCACTCAGGAATCAAACTCAGGCCGAGGGCTCTTGTGGCCTACAGGTTAAGGTGTTGGCTTCTCATTCAAAGGTCCCGGGTTCGAATCCGGGTAGCGACCGAAGAATTTTCTTCTCTAAAATTGTCTCCTTTCACCTCCTTTCCCGCTCTCTAACCATGTTGTCATCTGCTTTCACCTCCACTTTCTGCTCCACCCCTCACCTCCTTTGCCCCCTCCTCTGGGCTCCTGACTCTTTCTGTAGCCTTTCTACTGCTACTCTTCGGCTCCTTCTTACTGTCATCTTTCAGCCATACCCCTGATCTTAGGACAGGTAAGATCGAAAAACTAGCCTTCTCAGATAAAGGCGAAAAAATCTTCGAGGTCCCTTGTGCAAGTTGTGCACGTTAAAGATCCCATGGTGGTCCTAAAATCTATAAGAGTAAGCTTCGACCGCCACCCTGGCAAAAATCAAAATTAATTCCTACCAAACTGAAAATGCTTATTGGGTCCCACATGCTCATATGACCTTATTCACAAAAGACCTCAGTCAAACAGTGTGTCTTCCATTTATTAGTTTTATTATAACTGAAATTATAAAAAACAAAGAAAAGCCCAAACTCTCCCATGCATACAAATCCAACCAGTAACATCAGATTGTGTAACATCTCGCTCTCATCCTGTCTCACTGGGCGTATCGATTGTCAACAGAAAATAGGATTATCAAGTTGCAACATGGAAAAGTGGTACTGATTAGTGTACGAGAAAATATAGTTCCAGACACACTGTCTGACCCCAAGCAGATGCAAGTAAAACACTAACAAAAAGAAAAGACCAAAAAAAATACCTCTTTCAAAACGGAAGGCCTGTAGTTGTTGGCTTTCCGTTTGTCCTTGGAGAAGCGAATTTTCTGGAAGCGCGACATGAGACCCGTGAGGCTGAGCCCCCCGTCGTCTTTCTTCCCCGCCGCGCCCTCAGCAATCTCGCCCGCGTCCGCTCTCTCCTCTCCCACCGAGTCGGAGACGGAGGTGCTCGAGTCGTCCTCCGAGATGGATGGGCGGCCCGCTCCGCTGTCACCTTGACTTTTGCGCAAGTCGTTCTTCATGTCTGAGAGAGGAAAAGTTTTAGATTAGTTTTAGTAAAGGTTTTACGGCGCTCGCAACCACGTAAGGTCATATGAGTGACAGAAGATTAGAGGGGTTACAAGAGAGTAACAAACACGTTGTTGTTGTTAGCGATCCGGTAGCATCTGAGCGTTAACTCTTCTGCATGATGCCATTCTGTAATAGCTGCATGTCTGTTCTAATAGAGTAACAAACATAAAAAAGAAGGGGAGATAAAGACGATAGCTGTTTGATAGGAAAGAAGAAGCAGACCACGCCAGAGCACCCGCCAAGCACCCATGAGGAAGGAAAAAAAATTTTAGGTTTGTCTTTTTTTTACCCTATCCATATGCCCCTGGGGTCATTTGCACCCCAGGGGTTGTATACTTCACATTTTAGAATACTTCTAGTACGAATATCTCTTTGAAACTTTCAGTATTTCTCTAAAAATCATTTTGACAGACTGCTAAGCAAAGCGTACGGATCTTGGTGTCAGAGAGTTCCCCACGTCGTATGGATACAATAGTGAAACACGACGTACGGATAGGGCTTTGTTAGTAAGAGTTATACGACACTTGTTACAGGTTGCACATATAGGTCCTGTATGTGCTGAAGATCAGATATGTTATCAAAGAGTAACATACAAAGAAAAAATTCCTCTGTCATCTTGGTTTTTGGCATAAATCTGAGGTAGGTTTGCTTTAGTAAGAGTTTTACAGCACTAGCAACACAATTAAGTCTGAGGTAGGAAAAAGTACCCACATAACAAAAAACATAAAAATAATTAAAGTAAAACATTAAGACATCAGCTCCTCTTTCCACTAAAAGAAATATTCTTTCAAAGTTTTATTAAATGTTTCAGTTTGAGTTTTTTAGTCAGAATTTTACGGCACTTCCAACACATTAAGGTCATATAAGAGCCGAGGATGAGAGGTCTTACAAGAGTAACAAACACAAAAAAAGAAGGAGGGGAGATAAGTTTAGTTTAGTTTTAGTAAGAGTTTTACGGCACTTGCAACACAATAAGGTCATATAAGTGCCGAAGATTAGAGGTGTTACAAGAGAGCAACAAACACAAAAAAGAAGGAGGGGAGATAAGAAGATAGCTGTTTGATAGGAAAGAAGGAGCAAACCACACCAGAGCACCCGCCAACCACCCACAGGGAGATAAGGAAGATAGACGTTTGATAGGAAAGAAGGAGCAAACCACACTAGAGCACCCGCCAACCACCCACAGGGAGATAAGGAAGATAGACGTTTGATAGGAAAGAAGAAGCAAACCACACCAGAGCACCCGCCAACCACCCACAGGGAGATAAGAAAGATAGACGTTTGATAGGAAAGAAGAAGCAAACCACACCAGAGCACCCGCCAACCACCCACAGGGAGATAAGGAAGATAGACGTTTGATAGGAAAGAAGAAGCAAACCACACCAGAGCACCCGCCAACTACCCATGTCTGAGGTTGGACAAAGTGCCCACATATCAAAAAACACCAGAGCACAAAGATTAGAGGTGTCACAAAAGAGCAACAAACACAAAAAAGAAGGAGGGGAGAAAAGGACGATAGATGTTCGATAGGAAAGAAGAAGCAAACCCCAGCAGAGCACCCGCCCACCAACCACCCACTCACCCTCCTTGAGCGTCTCGTAGCACTCATCACAGACCCGGGCGGGCTGATACTTCATGTACCGCAGGGGAGCTTTGTTGTCCGAGCACTGTGAGCAGATCACCTACACACACACACACAAAACACACACTAGTTGACGCATAAATAGTAGTGTCATCTTAACACAGATCACCTACACACACACACACACACAAAACACACACAAGTTGTCGCACAAATAGTAGTGTCGTCTTAACACAGATCACCTATACACACACACACAAAACACACACAAGTTGTCGCACAAATAGTAGTGTCGTCTTAACACAGATCACCTACACACACACACACAAAACACACACTAGTTGACGCATAAATAGTAGTGTCATCTTAACACAGATCACCTACACACACACACACAAAACACACACAAGTTGTTGCACAAATAGTCAAACAAGTCATAAAAAAATAAGTAGTCATACAAGTAGTCAAACAGGTAGTAGTGTTGTCTCAACATGAAGAACAGATCACTTGCACACACACAAAACACACACAAGTTGTCGCATAAATAGCAGTGTCATCTTAACACAGAGAGCACGTCACCAACACAAACACACAAGTAGTAGTGTCGTCTCAACACAGAAAATACATCGCCTACACAAACACAAAAGTAGGTGTCATCAATATTTTAATTTAGTTTTAGTAAGTGTTTTACGGCACTTGCAACGCAATAAGGTCATATCAGTGCCGAATATCAGAGGGGTTACAAGAGAGTAACAAACACAAAAAAGAAGGAGGGGAGATAAGGACGATAGATGTTTGTTTGATAGTGTCATCAATATGAAGAGCTGAAATCTCTCACATCAGAAAGTCTGGGAGAATACAACAGATGTTTAAAATCATCCTGCAAGACTAGAATTACATCTAAAGCAGCCTGATAATTATCTTTTATTACATGGTATTTTTACACCCTCATCAACTCAATTGAGATCACTTAGGAGGAGGGCTTCCACACTGCTGCAGCCTTATAAGATACCTTAGACAAATGCCTGTAGAAGCCAACATAAGCCCCACGAATAAATATATCGCAATCGATTTTTCACAAACTGAGCAGCAATATAGGACTCTGGAGAGACGTGCAATAACTTTGGCAGGCAGTCACAGAAAAATAGAGTTTCCGAGTCGGAGAAAAAAGGAATAAAAGTAACAGTCACAGGGCTACAAATGTGAGACAGACAGAGAAAGTGAGAGAGAGAGAGAGAGAGAGAGAGAGAGAGAGAGAGAGAGAGAGAGAGAGAGAGAAGGATCATACACTTGTGCTTGCCAACATGAGGGAGATATAATTACTAGCTGGACCCTCTTTCGATGAAAGGAATGATCGCTGCATTAACATCAACTGAAAGTCATTGGCCTACTATATTTACACTCTACTTGAATGGGCCAATAAATCTTGAGATATGCAAAACATGAGAAGGTCTAGATAAAGAGAGATGTATAGATTGATTCTCGATTCCGCTTTCGTGGATGTACACTCCAGAATTTCAAAGGGGCGCACGGTTAGTGAACGGAAATTTCACTTGTATATAATGGCGCCTTAGAAGACGGACTTTCCCAAGATTAGATCTAAACGAAACTAATGAAAAACTGAAAATTAAACTACTGTGACTTCAGGCTCCTCAGTTAAACTGTGCACCCTTTAAATGATTCTGAACCACCGTTAATTTTGTCAAATTCTAAAGATAAGTGGTTCGGAAGTTTTAGGCAGCCAAAGTGTGAACTTTCACATATGTAATATGTATAGAGATACAGTGGGTGATTTAGTGATCATGGTGAGCGATGGTGACCGTCAGGGTAGCAACAGGTAATTAGTAATGCATAACTTTAGACTAGGAAATACATGTGGGGCAGTACGAAAATGTTACCCTCTCAAAGGTGATGAAAGTGGGCGCTGGCTATAATAGGGCTGACAGGCACCGACATACACAAAATGCACTTTCAAGATTTTCAGAGAGACATTCAGTCAGAACCACAATGAAAATACACCGAGTATAAGTGGGGGAAAGTATACAAAGGAACAGGTCGCTTTAAGGAAGAGGAAGGAAGACAAGAAGGGGAAGGAGAAGAAGGAGGAGGAAGAGGAGGGAGATATTGACTCACCCTGCCACAGGAGCGACAGTGGTGCCTCCTCCACGTGATGGTGAACACGCCGAGACAGAGGAAGAAGAGGAGGAGGAGGAGGAGAAGAAAAAGGAAGACAAGAAGGTGAAGAAGGAGGAGAGGAAGAGGGAAGGAGAGAAAGAC